ACATGAACATTTATGCCAACCAAAGAGCTCGGTACTTTCAACATCTATTTAAAATTACAAAAAATTATTATGTATCTTTGGTTAGAATAGAGCTTAAGAACTCATGTGACTTAAAAGCACACTTTTATCGGGTTAATTTTCTATTGTAGTGGGTGCTTACTCTTGTTTTCCTGTTTTTCTTTGGTTTTTATTGCTTACTTCTTTTTTTTAACCTTTTTGGACTCAATCAAACGCCAATCAACTTTTCAACCCTTCATTTCATTGTTGTGACATAACATTATCATACCATGCATTAATCTCCCCTTACTTCTCTAATCCCATAAGGGGTTGGAAACTTTATTTTCAGATGGGGTGCTAAGCCTATAATCCATATAACAGACTGATTAGGTTAGTCCAGTATTATGTTATAAGTAAATGGGATGTTTATAATTGTAAAGTCTATAATTGATGTAACCGTCCTCGATTCTATCCCTAAAATGATTAGTAGTTTGATAGTCTCTTTAACTACTGCTTGTTCATTTCCAAATTTGATCAAGGTCGTGGTGATTGGCTATAGCTACTTTTCTCTTATTCTCATATTTTCATAGTGGCATGGTACAAAACATCGATTGAACTTTCATTATCAAATAAGATCCTTCTGATCGCTTAATTTTACACCATAACCATGATCACTATAGCATTATTGTAAAGGTATTGGATTTCTTCCAAGTCTTTTAAACTTAATGAGATCTATTTATCCCTCTAGTCTCTTTTTTTATCAAAGAACCAATAACTATGACCATATCTTGGTCAAATTTTCTTTTGGCCAAAGTGAAGCTTTTCTTAGTGATCACATTGATTACCTTGACAATTGATCTATTATCTGTAGCTCGACCTTTCTTTTGTCTTTGCTCATCCTTTTCAAACTTTTCTTCTCTTTTTTTTTATTTTACCTTTTTCGTCTCTTGCATGTTCTCTTCGATCCCTTTTGTAGTCTAGCCTATTTTGCCCTTACTTTCATCGATCTATAAACCTCCTTAGCTAACCTCTTTTGATTAGAGCTTTAATCTTATTTTTCAAGTCGACACAGTCTTTGATGTTATGACCTATGTCTATATGAAAAGTACATTTTTTGGTTGGATCCCTCTTTATATTTTCCCTTAGTGGTTTCAGCCATCTAAGCTTTGAATTCTTTCAATTTGCATTAGAATCTTTTCTCATGAAGTATTCGGTACTATTTAGTTTCTTTCTTCATTAGGGATCCTAGCCTTATGTCGTCTCTCTCTTAAAGGAAGATCGTAAAAATTCTTACCCTTTTTATGACCAAAAATAGGGGATGAGGCTCTTTCACCTCGACCGCTAAGGAAGAAGGATGAATTTTTTTCACTTTGACTATTTTTCATCGTACCTTCAATATTTATGTATTTCTTAACTACAAGTAAGATGTTAACCAAAGTCTTGAGTGACTCTAAGGATAAGGTTAGCTTCAAATGGTACTCTCTATCATTGTATCCATTCGTTAAGGTGATAACAGCAATCATATATTCCAAGTTTTTCACTTCTAGAGTTTTTGCGTTAAAACACGTGACATAATCCTTCAAAGACTGGATCAACATCAAGTTTAATGCCTTTTTCTTCATTTTGCGCTACTCACAAATTGGAATAGGAAAAAGTGGTTAAGTTCTTTAAACATTATGATTGACCTCAACTTTAAGCTACTATACCAAGATCGAGCGTGCCCTGGAGGGAAGTAGCAAGGCCTTTATATATTAAAGTTTCGTTTGCACTCTGCATCATCATATTAGTTTTATAAAGTTCTAGATGATCAAAGGGATCAAAAATACCATCATAAGTTTCTAAAGTCGACATTTTGAAACCTTTTGGAAGTATAGATCTATCAATTTCTTTAGTAAAGGGTGAAGTCTCCAAAAATTTGAGTTTGTCCTCAAAAGCTACCATTTTTGCTTTTAGTTCTTTCAACATAGCTTGCATTCGAGCTTACAAGTCTGTTTGTTTTAATCATTGGGCTATGACGTGTGTCAAGTTGTGACTCAAGTAGTGGTGAGTAGTTGGAATATCATTTTCTTTTTCCCTGGAAGCCGAAAAGGCTTCCACCTTTTCATAACTTTGTTGCCTTTTCATGACTTATCGACGAAGGGTGACTAGGTTAAGTACCTTTGAGACCTGTGGTGGGGTTATAGTTTGTAACATTTGCTTAAGGGCTTATATTTGCTCGGTTAGAGCCTAGAACTACTTAATGGTCGAACTAGCCTGTTGTGGGGTAAGTCGATCAAGTGTTGGCTATTGTATGTTTCTATCTCAATCAAGATGGCCGTCTCTCTTTCCTTCAAAGCTCTTTTCCTTGGCGGCATTATCTTATGCCTGGTTAATAAATAGAAAGCCCTTACCTAGCATACCAAATGTTGTTGCTAAGCTCCAACGTGAGGATACCCCTAGAAAGACATGAAAGGGAAGAGTAGTTAGATGCAAATGCAAAGAGTGTTTCCTACATTTGTATTTCGACGCGCAAGTTAGAAATCAAAATAAAAAAGGTTGAATGGAAAGAAGAGTAAAGGGTTGAGGCAAGATGGAACTTGGGATGATAATGTCTGGATGTCAATATTTATATATGAGAGACATAGGACAATGGGAAATAATGATGACATGGTCGAGCTGATGTAACACTGAACATGTCAGGTAAACCTGAAAAATCAAGTCGGTTAATATGTTTGAAAGACACCAGGTTGTCTACCAAAAGTCTCTAATGAGAAAAAAAAACCATCATTCCTTTTAAACCATTAAATACCCCTAATAGGATTGATTTAGTTACCCATATTTACATACTATAAAGTTTATTATTTTTTAGCAACTATTTTGGTTTCTCTATACAAATTTACTAAAGTTAAAAATTTCATTGATTTAATGAAAATTTTGGTTATGCTCTGTTTAGATTTTTAAAAATTTTCAAAGTCGGAATAGAAAATCAAACCTATTGGATATCCATGTATACATCATAATGAATTTTGTGACTTGTGATCTGTGCAATAACATGTTAATGGACTAAAATTACTTGTTTAATTAAGGCAGGTATTAAAATATAATTCCTATTGGTCTATAAATACGCATCTTGAAATTGATAACACCAATTTAGATTACACGAACAATACTTTGAAAGAGAGAATTCTTAATTAGCGAATTTCGTAGATTAATTTTGGCTCAGAGTTTTCTTTCTAATACGTAAGATTTAGGTCGTAAAAACCAAACAACTGTTGAATATGATTTTGTTCTAAATCGATAAATCAAGTTCAAGGTTTCAATCATACACTTATAAGTATAATTTTTTTTAATTCGACAAAATTTTCGCTTCATATTCTATATTTTATGTAAATATATATATGTTGTTTATTTCGAACATGGTATCAAATCGTTATTAAACTTGATTTCTAGTCTATATGTAATATATATGAAATACCTAAAATAAATGTGTTACAAGTTATATATTATTGATTTTATCTATGGTCACTAATAATATATTTTTTATTTACAGTGATATATCATGAATTACTCATGAAAATTTAATGTTTATATTTTGCTCGACATAAATATGATATATGGACATTTTGTACCATGAAACTTATTTATTTTATCATAATGCCAAAACTTTGATCATTATTGGATTCATCATGATTAGTTCTTTATGAAATAAAATTGGTATGGTTGGGAAGATTTTTTCTTAAACTTTGTAACGGTATATCATATTAATTTTTTCATTAAGAATTGATGAAATGAACATAAAATCAAGAAATGAAAAAGTTATAGTTCTTGTTTGTTTTAATGTTCAAATTCGAGAACTTGACCGTTTAAAGGCTGAAATTTGTTTTGTTTGAAAAAATAATTTTTATTTTTATTTATTTTATTTTGTAGAAAATAATTTTTACTTTTTATCTTTTGTTTTTTAAAATATTTATTTGGTAATTGAAAACAAAATTCTTTTAAAAGTACAAAATAAGAAAAATAAATAATTATGGAAATAATTATTATTAATGATATCTAATTATAAATATATAATATGTATTTATTAATTAATAACTTTCAAAAGTGTTCAAATATGAGCCAATTTTTTTAACTTGCAAAGCATAAGATGATGAGTATTTCTTATTTTTATAATTGAAAATATCTTCTTTTATTTTCATATTTGAGCTTATTTTCATTTTTGTTTCATTTTTCATTACCAAACACGTCTTCATTTTTATTTTTATTTTTAAAAAAATAAAAAATAAAAAATACTTTTATTTTAAAAACAAATACTACCTAAAATTTTTAAAATTAAACACCTTAATTTTATTTTTACAATAAATAAATTCTTTCACAAATGGAACCAAACATTGGACTCGACAATGCCTTCTTAATAAGGTTTAGAAGTCCGCAAATAAGGCAAAGATGGTGTAAGCTTAGGGTGCTTATTCGATCAATTTTATTAATTTTTAATCAATTTATCAAAAATTAAATTAATTAAATTAAATTATTTTATTTTCGTTAATTAAATCAAATATGTTAGTTTCAAAAATTAATCGACTAAATTAAATTTGATCGGTTTGATTAATTTTTTCGATTAATCAAATAATAAATATATTAAAATTAAATTATATTTTAAACTCTTAAATTTTTATTTAAAACAAATTAAATAAAATAATCTAACAAAATATCTAAATACTAAAACATTAAATTAAAAATTTTAATAATTTATTTCATATATTTTTAATTAAAATTTTAATTAATTTAATTTTTAAATCTAATTAATAAAATATTAAAAAAATTTAAATTATAATAAATTAAAATTAATTTAATAATTAACCAATCAATTAAATTAAATCAATTCAATCAACCAACTCAACTAAATTTCAAACACCCGTGCGTGAGCTTCAATGCAAAACGTATGACGCAGCGTCTTTACAACAACGAACAAATTAAACAAAACGACGTTACATTATGGGCGTCGAGGGCGGAACTCAAACTTAATTATTAAATGAACAAACAAAAGGGCCATAAAACAGATTTCAAGTCCGCCTTATTCTCTCTCCTCTCTCAAACACACACTCTGTCTCTCGCAATCGAAACCAAACCTCTTCACACAAAATTCACTCTTTAAACCTTAATTTTATCCTAATTTGCATTCCAAATCTATGCTTAATTCCTCGAAATCCCAATCTTTGCTCAAATTTCAAGCAGAATTCGAAAGTTTGAAACAGAAATTTTCTCCATAATTGAACGAATTTGTTTATCAAAATTTGACTTTTTTCCCAGCTTATTTGATTCAATTTTTCTTGGGATTCGAAGAATTTTGGGCGAAAGTTTTGTTCTTTTTCATCGTTGGAGCTGCTCGGAGTTAGTTTTTGGAAAGAGTTTCGTTGAATTTTATTGCTCCCGAAGCTGATTGGAAGTGTATTTTGGGTGAAATTTGAAGAATGTTCGGTGAAATAATTGGATTTCGATCCTCAGAGTAGGAGGGCTTTGGACGGGCAAGGTGAGCTTGTTAGATTTTGTGATTTTCTTTTAGTAATTTTAGGAGCCTAATTTTGCGAAGTTAGGGTTTCTATTTGATGAACTTGACTTAAAGTTGATTGTTAATATATTTTTTTTGTTTGGTTTTAAGACGGCGAGACTGGTTAAAAGATTGGGAAGCTTAATTTAGAATAGAAAATTTGTATCTTCGCATTATCTTCTTAGTTAAGATCTTACTTTTAGGAATTAGGGTTTTGTTTTATCGAATTTGTTTGAATTCTTTTTTTTTTTTTTTACTATTTGCTTTCAGCCTCATGAAAGCAAAATAATAAAAGCAAAATCGTAGTTGTGCTAAAAATTAACACATGAGTAAAATACAATGCCCATTCTAATATAATTGTTTTATATAAAAGTAAAAATCATGTATTTTCTTTTTCAAAAATAGTTAAATTTTTTAATTTTTCAAAATATTATTTGCTTTTGTATTCAAATGTGCTTATGCAAGAAAAAAGCAAGTAACAAAAGCAACAACCAATAAATACCTCAATAATTGGCGTTTTGATGCATATAATTAGGAGCAGTAACTAAGGCAAATTCATTAAGCAAAATCCTAAATTACAAAATCTAACTTGTAAAACACCAAAAACGCTATCGCATTGTTTCGATCTTACTGATTTCATAGCTAGTTTGAAGCAATAAATTACAAGTGAAATTTCCATGCTTAATATTTTAATTTAAAGGCATTTTTTAAGGTTATTGGGTTCTGCTACGGTTTATTTTGATAATTTATTGTTGTCCATTCTTCTAATGCAAAAAATTAGAATAGCAAGTTTATAGCTAGTTGGGTTAAATTGAGGTTTATGACTTCATTGGATTTTTATTCTTTCCAGGTATTTGTACCTCGTCTTTCTCAACAACTTGGCAGCTAGCTTCTGGTGTTTGTCTTGGTTCAAAGTGTCTTCATAGAGTTTAGTGAAGATTAAATTTCAGGAACCTGTCATGGAATATGGGCTTTCTGATAGCAGTGGTGAGTTGAGTTAAATAGTTTTGTTTCAGTTTGTCTTTTCTTCTCCCCCCCCCCCCCCCCCTTTAAATTTGATGATTTTGAGATGGAAAAAACTTGGTTTCTTCAGCTTGGTTATTTGATGCACACATTATGTTGCTTTTCTTGGTTAATTTGAGTGAATATTTAGGGTTCATGAACCCTTGCTATTCAGTCTAATTATTGCTTGTATTCACAAAAGGTTCAAGCACCCTTTTGTCACACCCCTTTCTTTCTTTCTTGATGTTGCAATTTCTACATTGTCTAGAAGTGTTCTGTAAGGTTTTAGATGGGTGATTTGAAGAAACAATATAACTGATGGTAACTTTATTAAAGGTTCTGTATCTAATCAGATTTATTTATTTATTTTTTGGTAATAAGGGGTACAGAAATGTTAAAAAGATTTCATTATTACTTCTGAACCAGATAGATTTTCCACATCCTAGAAACTTAACTCAAATAATGAATCTTTCTGATCTGAAACTACAGGAACAGATGATGACCTCCCTCCACATCAGAATAGGTTTCAACGAGGGGGTCGTGCTGCTGCGGGCAATGGAAGATCAGCAGTTGTAGGTTCTGCTCCTTTGCCTAGGATGCATGGCGACATGGAAACTCAAATCCATCTCATTGAGCAGGAAGCATACAGTGCAGTCTTGCGGGCCTTCAAAGCTCAATCAGATGCTTTAACTTGGGTATTTGTCAAAATTTTATTCGATAATTTATCCCATAAAGATTATGTCAAGTAGGTTTTAAAGCTATTTAAACCAAATGTGTTTTCCCTCTCAGGAGAAGGAAAGTTTAATTACTGAACTCAGAAAGGAGTTGAGAGTATCAGATGAGGAACATCGGGAGCTTCTATTGAGGGTTAATGCTGATGACATCATTCGGAGGATAAGGTCTGTTTATATCATGCCATGCTCTGCTGGGCAGCTTTTATTAATTATCTAATGACTTATTGTCAACTCTGCATTTTAATGGGAACTATGATCAATTGTTGCTGTTAGGGAATGGAGAACGGCAAATGGGATCCAGCCTGGAATGCTCAGTACCAGTCAGCCTGTTCAGGACCCTGTACCTAGTCCTACAGTATCAGCATCACGCAAGAAGCAAAAACCGTCACATTCTGTAGCTTCATTATCTATGGGTGCACCGTCTCCTGCATTGCATCCATCTATGCAACCATCTTCATCGGCCCTGAGACGAGGTCCTTCTGCAGCAAAGAGCAAGAAGTCAAAATCAGTGAGTTAATTCGTTTCAAGAGACATGAGAAAATTTGATGAATGGACTATGTGTATTCTATTTTCATTATTTATTGATGATTTATGTTATTTTGCTGCATCCTCAATGAAGTCGATGCAGTACCCTTCTGCAGGTCTTCCTGGCAGACCACAAGCTCCTAATCATACATCTTCAGGGGCCTTTGTGACAAATGAGCCTGCTGAAGCAGCATCACATGTTCCATTAATTGGAAGGAAAGTTTGGACAAGGTGGCCTGAAGACAACCATTTCTATGAGGCCGTTATAACAGACTATAACCCAGTTGAGGTATATTTTGCAGTTGTTTATACAGTAAGCTGTTAATTAATGGAGCTCTTTATAATCCTATATTTCCATATTGATAGGGGCGGCATGCTTTGGTTTATGACATTAATACAGCAGATGAAACCTGGGAATGGGTCAATCTCAAAGAGGTATCATTTTAATGCTATTTCATGCAATGTATTATTGCTTTTTTTTTTAACTGATTTACCCTCAGTTAGTATTTTATGTAGAATTTTAAACAAAATCAACTTTTAATTTTGTTGCACATGTTTCGTGGGAACTTTTATGCCATTCATCAGACATTGCAGAATTTATATGCATTTCTATCCTTGTAACTTGAACCATATTTTTCCATATATCTGGTTTATACCTCATAGAATTACGGACTTAACAGTATATTGTCAAGCTTACCAGTTAGCCAATGATCAATATGACTTTGTGAATTTGTGTGCGGTTAGTCTGGGAATAATAAATTTAGGCGGTTCCAAGTTACTCTTGCATGTATTTTGGTATATCTGTTAATACAAGCAAGGATCATGTGAGGCAGTAATATATTTCATAGTTGTTGATATAACTATTACTAAATTCAAGTTACATTACCAACCGATTTCATCAACTGTCTGCATATCTTGACAATTTGCTATTGTCATTCTCGCTCAAACTTATTAAGAGTTGTGTATTATATTCCAAGCATAGATCTATGATCACCATGCATTATACATAGCTTTGTGCTAAGTTTGTAATATTTCATGCTGAAGCGGTAATTTTTTCAATTATAATGTTTTCAATTATGCTTTCTTGCCACTCGCTGATTGTTATATATATAATGGTAGATATCTCCTAAAGATATTAGATGGGAAGGTGATAATCCTGGAATATCCCGTAGAAGTGGTCGCCCTGGACCAGGCCGTGGGATTAAGAAGTCCATGGCTCGTGGTGGCGGGGTTGCCGTAGCAGGAAGAGGTAGAGGCAGCTTAAAGGGTCAGTCCAAAAAAGATTTCCCTCTGGCACAAAATGGTGTTGGTAAAAAGGTTTTGGGTGATATTGAGATACTTCATACAGATACTCTAATTAAGGAGGTATAATTGCTACTCAAAGTTCATCTACTATACCGCAATTGTCAAATATGGTGTGTACTTCACTAATTGTGGAAATTTTGAACAGGTGGAAAAAGTTTTTAGTGCAAGCCATTCTGATCCCATAGAGATTGAGAAAGCAAAGAAAGTGTTGAAAGTAATTACGTCTAATAATTTTCTTGTGATGTTCTATATCAGATATTGCAGCAATCATGATGGGTATTCGTTGTCATTGCAGGAGCATGAACAAGCCCTGCTTGATGCAATTGCAAGGCTTGAAGATGCATCTGACGGTGAAAGTGGTAACAACTAATTACATATAATTATGTTATCTAATAGTTAAAATAAGGATGCACCATCTTCTGTTGTATAATCTAATTGTAGCTTTTGGATATTCAGTTCACCCGTGGCAAAGGCATACAAATTTCCAATTAATTATTGTTTTCCTCATTATCATTCTCATAAGAATGAATGAAATGATACAAAGTTGTGAGAATGCAGCATGTATAGCATAGCTTCTGTCTTGAGCCTGCCTCATTATTTAGCTTGTCCGTTTTAACTGCGGTTCCTGCAACTTCAACAGTAGCAAGATGAAAACATACTGTTAAAAAAAAAAAAGGGGGAAAAGCTTATTACATGTTTCCAAGGGAGTTTTCATTACCTAAATTTTTGGGGTATTATATGACTATAAGCAGTTCAAGAGGTTTTATAGCTTTATTTGTGAAGAATGCCATTTTGTTATCTCAAGTATTGATCGGAATGACACCTGCCATTTTTATTTTGCAATAGATGTCTGAACCACATCGTTTTGGGTAGTTTTAGTTTTTATTTATTTGTTTGGCTTCAAAGCAGATGGAGAGCATCCATTATCGCAAGGACAATCAATGGATCAAGAAAGAGCATGGAGAAAACGGCAGTATAATGAAATGGGTGAAGGTAGAATGACTGAAGGATCTGATGGCAATAAAACGACGAGAGATGCACAACAAGATGTGGGTAATGACATGCGATTTTAGCCACCTTTGTATATCCAGTAGCAGTAGTAGTACCAGTAGCGTCTGCCTGTAGTGCTCTTGTATCTTGTTTTATCCTTGAATTTCTACCAACTAGGCTAGTGACCATTTCTTGGTTCATAATCATTTTAGTTTGCAGCCTATTCGGATTTAGTCTTACTATTGTAACTTTAAGTTGAATGTAAGCTATGAAAATGCTTGTATAAATTTTTTTAAATGCTAGTGAAATACCTGACCATGTAAAAATTTATTTTCATTTGTGTTTTCTTTATCCTCTCTCTCCATATTCATTTGGTTGCGGCTAAACTTAGCAATTCCTGTATTCATAGATTGTTGTCATCAGCAGGACCCATGTTCACTTTGATCAGACAGCACGGAAACCAAAGGTCTAATTTCCTGCAAATTACACGTGTATATACAAAACAATAACAGACCTTAAGGAAGCAAATGTCAAAGCAATTCATCAAGCAGCTGGTCTAAGAACTGGCTGCGTGTCCTACAATGAGGAAATAAATTCAAGGATACGATTCACCATCTGAGCATCATAAGCAGGGCCTTCCATTTCAAAGTGGCTTGCTCCTTCAATTAAATGTGTTTCATTGCGTCCTGTTGCAGAATTCAACTTGTTATTGAGCTGTTTCACGCTTGTAAATCCATCCCGAGTTCCCATGACAAAGAGTTTCGGTTTGGGGGATTGCAGGATGGCTTTGTGGTGTCGTCCGAAAAGGATCGAGGCCATCATGCCAAAAGGGTACCCCAGACTTACATAGGCCACAACTTGCTCAACTTGATCAACAGCAGAACCAGCAATTGCTGCCCCTATAACAAATTATGAGTTTAACTGCCATTATATATACTTTTGAAGTCCCCAAACTATGCTAACTGGGAAAATATCAGACTGAAAATTTCATGCTGGTGTATAAATCCTATCAATTGACATAAGATGTGATGCAATAACGTATAATGGTTTTACATGCTTAATACAAATAGCGATCACATGGCTCAAGAATGATAGAGAGAAACTATGAATCCTTCAGCATATTCAATTGAACATAGCCACTGAAAAACAGCATGTTTAGAACATCTTGATTAGTCCCCATTGCAAAACCCAATGTTGAGCATATAGAACAAGTTTAGCAGTCGAGTCATTTCTTCTGCTCCACAACACACATTTTTCAGTTTCTTTCTTCTGTGAACCTAATGTTTTCATTTTTGACCCAGCTCAAGAAATCACTAACCAGCACTAAACATATTTCATGACTATCAACCTTATAAGAAGGATGAAAAATGAATATTGACCCGTAAACAAGCTTCCATTTATCTCTGACCAGCAAGACAAAATGTGAAAAAAACAAAACATATTTATTTTCAGCACATCAGTTTTATGGATCCCTACACACTCTGGCTAAGTGATTTACCAGGATACACCAAGCAATTCATGCACACAAAAAATATATATATATAAGACCATGTGATACATCAAAATGATCATTTCTAATATCTAAAAAGCATGAGACAAACTCAATGGCATGATTATCAGACTGATTCTAAAACAAATCTGCTTTTCAAAAACTAAGGGGTTGTTAGTTTTTGTTTCCGTTTTCTGTTTTCGTTTTCAGTTTTTTTGAAAATTGAAAACAAAAACATGTTTGGTAGGTTGTTCTTGTTTTCTATTTTTGAAAACTGAAAATAATACTTTGGAAAGTTTTGGAAATTGTTGAAAACAGAAAAATGATGTTTTCAGTTTTTTGGAAACAATTTGGCACTGTTACCACATGTGTGTTGTTCACAAAAATTACAATTACACCGCTAAAATGACGTTACAATTATTATATTAATAAAATAATATTTTTATTATATAAATATTATATTAATAAATAATATATTATTTATTTACTTATTAATATACTATATTATTTATTAATATAATATATTAACAAATAATATATTAATAAATATTATTATATTATTAATAATAAATGGAGTCTAAAAACTTTAACCATTTTATCTTACATGTTTTTGTTTTCATATTTCTAAAACAAAAACATTTTATCCAAATATGTTTTCAAATTCAATAAATTGAAAATAAAACAAAAGTAAAATAACACAAAATTTTCAAAAACATAAAATATAAAGCACAGGACAATTCCAAATGACCCCTAACTGAATCTATCACCTAAAGCTTCTCCCCCAACATCATTAATGGAATTATCTCCAACATAAACAGTCGATAACTAAGACCAATACTTTTCAGTGGACTTGCACCAGCAGCAAGCACAAATACCACACAAAGCCATAACACATCAGAACTTGTCTTTACTGAAGAAAAACTGCTTATCTAATTGTTCATTTACCACTCAAGGAAAAACATTAGTCAAACTTATCCAATAAACAAGTAATTTTTCAGCTATTTGAAGCATGGAGGGGAAACAAACTCACTAATTAGCCTTCAACTTAGCCTGTAATAAGAATCTAGGCAATCGTTCACTTGTACATATAAAGCAGAGCATAGTGGGGAAAACAAAACTCGTCAATTTGGGTTAGAACTAGCCAAAAATAAAAACTCAAGTAACCTTCACCTTTAAAATAAATTGAAGCATATAGGAAATAGAGCTCCTCAAATTGCCTTAGGCTTAGCCAAAATAAAAATCCAGCCCCCGTCCCCCCCCCCCCTCTACCTTATAAAGCTAGTGCTGATACTACTCTTCATACTTCAATATATCTGAGGGACTAGGCCTTTGATCATTGACAGTTGTTTTTACATCCACATCATACTCAGCGAAGGGGAGATGAATTTAAAAACTAATTTTTGATGGTGATGGGAATAACTTCGGAGAGGCATGCTTTTTCAAAATTTGAGGAAAAAATCAAAGTTCCCAACAAATCATTTCCTAAAACAACTGTAAACCAACCTCTAACATCTACTATGCTCATCTACACATCCGTTGATTTTTCCAAATTCAGAAAGTGCTGATCATAAAATCAGGAACCATTACTAAGCAAAACAAGAAGATAACAAGTGACTCTGAATTCATCCATAGATTTTAATAAAAAAAAAAAAGGCAAGTAAAAGTTTTTATCAACAAATAACGCTGAAATCATTGATAAGCCTGAAACAAAAATATCCATTTTAATCAAATTACTTGATTAGCACTTGACCAACAAGTTAGACTTAAATCTGCATATAAATCAAGAAATAGAACTTCTCCAATCAACTTTCCCCTCAATGCTAGAAAGAAGTTAACTTTATTTTTTTCTTCCTTTTTAAAAGTAAATTATGCACATAAGAATCTAATACCTATTTAATGGGATCTAAATATAAACAAACAATCTAATCACTACCCAAAACCCAACAATAATTGTCCCAACCAAAATCAAGATATTTGCAAAAAAAAAAAAGAAAAACCTAAGAGAATAATTATATTATACCTGCAGAAGAACCCACCAACAAGATCTTGTCAGAAGAAAGATTTTGAGAAACCCAATTGCAGACAGCAACAACATCCTTGACTTCAGCAAAACCTGTAAGAGAAGCTCTTCCAGTTGACCTTCCAACTCCTCTCATGTCAAAAGTAACAGCCCTGTAACCTTTGCCGGCCAACCCAGAAGAAATCCCCCTCAAAAGAGCCTGACAACCACCCAAGATGGAGTATGGATGGACAAGAACTATTACTATGTTGTCTTTAATCTCTTCTTTTGGTTTGAAAACTCTTGTCCTCAGGTTGACTCCATCGGGAGTTTCAGCTGTGCATGACTCCACTGTGCAGTTCGACATTTTTTGAGAGAGCTAAAGGGAAGGAGTGAGAATGGAATCAGGGGGAAAAAAAAAGTGTTTGTGTTTCGAGAGAAAGTTAACAAAGAAAAAAAAAATCATGAGATTTACATGTTGGGAGAAGTTGGAAGTTCAGTGTTGTTAGTTGGACAACTCAATACCTATCTGGGGGCCACGAGAGTTTTACTTGTTGGGTGGGTTTTTTCGGTGAATTAAGAGTGGACAAACTGTTTTTTTTTTTTTTCCTCTTATTTTTTATATGAATACTAAACACCTCAATTTTAAATATAACACAAAAATTAAAAATATACGAAAGAATATATAAAATTAATATGATTTAAATTTTTAGCATAAATTATAATAAATTTATTAAAAATAAAAAAATATATTTTATATTTTATATTATCATATGAATTTGATACAATAAATTTTTATATTTTACACATCAAATAAACACAATATAAATATATAAATTATTAAATTCAATTAAATACTTTTCAAAGCACAAATAAAAAACAAAGTAATAAATAAATTGAAATTATACTTCAATAATTTTTTGGATTATTATTCAACATAAAATTTTTTGAATTCATAATAAAAAAAAATTTGCCCTTTAATGCTATAAATTCTCTCTTTAAAATGAGAGCTTTTCTACAAGACAAGTCCTTTTAGGTTTTTAATCAAATAATACAATTTATATACTTAAATTTTATAAAGAAGGGGAAGGAGAGGTTGTGCATGTGGTACCTATCCTTCCTTCAAATTTTTTATTTTTTATTTTAATTTTTAACTAAATAAATTTTGTAAAAAAAATTGATGAAAGTATGAATGATAATATAATTCATATTTGATTTGCAATGATTTAATATAAGTATATTTAAGAAAAAAAAAAAAAAGCAGATCAAGGTTAAGGTTTTTTTTATTTTTAAATAGAGTCAAATTGAGATAAATTTAAAGTATTCAACTTGTCTCGGGTGTCCACGTGGCACATTTTTTTTTATTTTTTTCATTTTTTTAAAGCTTTTATATTTTTTGGGTTTCCTTTTTTTTTAATTTTTGTTTTTATATTAGATAAATTTTGTAATAAAAAAATCAATTTAATATAAAAATAACAAAATAATATATATTTAATAAGTTTCAAATCGTTCAGATTAAATTCGTACGTTTTTTCTAATTCAAAATAATTTGAGTTGAGTTGTTTTTTTAATCGGATTTAGATAAAAGTAAGATTTTGGGTGAACGTTACATTTTGACCTTAATATATATATATATAAATAATATATTTTTATTATTTATTTAATTATATATTTATATACGTATTTTATTAAAATATATTATTTAATATTTTAATTTAATAAATTCACGTTTTATCTTATTTGACTTCTTTTTTTTGTAATTTTTTTTATTTTTTAAAAATTTATATATTAGATAAATCTTGCAAAGAAAAAATCAATAAATATAAGAATAACAAAATAATTTATATCTAGTTTTGATTCGTCGTGATCTACTTGATACAATTTTTTTTTAATTAAGTTTTACCATTTTAAATAATTTAAATTAAACCATTTGAAATATTCTACTCATCTCTCTTCCTCATATATTTTTTGACTAAAAAATGCTTCTTTCAAGGACCTCATTTCCTCCCTTTTCTTATATCGGAGATTTATTCCCTCATCTGCATCAACTAACCTTTTCTTTTCGTCATCAAGAATTCAGGTTTATTGGTCGTTAGTTTATGATGCAGATCACCGCTTCCCTTGAGTGAGGTAAGTTCTATGTTGGTCTCGCCAAATCTAATCCTATCAAAATTAGGATTGGCAATGTGGCAAATATTCATTATTTTTGAAGTATTTTTATTTGAATTTATTTAATTTTTATGATATTTAAATTCGTTTAAATATTTAATTAAATTTAATATTATTATCCGAATTTGAATCGATTTAAAAACGCATTATCCTTTAAATATTCGAATCCATTTAAATATTCAATCACTTAAATATTTTTGTGAAAGCATAAAATAAATAAAAAATAAATTTAAAATTCAAGTTTATTTTTAATTAATAATAAATAAAAGTTGTTTATGAAGGTTTAAACAACAAGCATAAAATTTTATATATTTTACATTTGTAAATAGGTAATGGATTTGAATATTAGAAACTATCTATTAAAAATTAAACAGATTTAAGTATTAAATCTTCAAATAATACTATTCAAATTCTATTTGAATTTGTCATAGATAATAAATTTATTATCCAAATTTATTAATTATCTATTTATAAATATTCAAATTCTACATAAACGAATCGTATAATATCAAATATCCGATTATTTACTACCAATTGTCATCACTAATCAAAATAAACCTTAATAAAATAGTAAATTGTAACCAAGCTTTCCTCTTTGTCATCAAGGATTAAGGTTTATTTGGTTTTTAGTTTACGATGCAGATCACCGTTTGATTTTTCTCCCTTCGATGGAGTAAGTTCTATATTGGTCTTGCCATATCTAATCTTATCGAAATAGACCTTATATAATAAAATAGTAAATTCTATAATTAGAAATTTAAAATAGTAAAATTTATGATTAAAAATTAAGGTTCATGAGGTCAAGTTTTCACTTAATTCAATAGCTGACCAAATTAATCAATGTAATTAATCAATAGCCGGCTGAATTAATTAGTTATGACAATTTCAATTAATTCAATTAATTAAAAAATTAATTTCATTAATAGAAGTGTTCAATTGATTCAATTAATTTCGAATCAAATTATCTTAAAATCGAATTAATTAAATTAGTTTATTTATTTTATTAAATGAACCAAATTTATTAATTTAAAAAGTTAATTGATTGAATTTAATTTGGTCAGTTTTGTTAATTTTTTAATTAATTGAATAATAAAAATATTCAAATTAAATTATATTTTAAATTCTTAATTTATCGTATTTAAAACAAATTAAATAAAATTGTTTAAAAAAGTATTCAAATATCAAAATATTAAATTAAAAACTCTAACATGAAATAGGTTTTTTTTTTTTTTTTTAGTTTTATGTAAGCTTTGTTATACTTAGTTATTTGATTATCGAATTAAATTAATTGAAAATTAAAATGTTTTAAAAATTATTTTTCATAATAAATTAATTAACGGAATTAATTTGATTCGATTGAATAATTCGATTTTAATTGAATTAAAAGTACTTGTATAGATAATAGATTAATTCAATTTTAAAATTTTTTAATTGAATTAATCAAACTATAGATTACTCAACCTTAAGTCCAATCTAATGAAGTTGAGTTAAGCTTGCGAGTTTGGACGAGTTCACCAAATCTTAGAGACCTTTAGGTAATAGCTAATCACTCAATTTAAAAATAAAAAAAAAATTGCTAGGTAATTTTTTAAGGTATCATTTGATCATTATAAAAACTTGGGCGAGGGAACCCTAGCTTTGCAGGATTTTGCTTCTTTAAAATGGAAGATGACGAACCATTTAAGTCAAGCCTAAGTTCAATCACGCCTAAAAACTCCTCATTAAAACCTTCCCACAAAAAATCCTTTATTGTTTTAGAATTCAATTGGAAATTTTTTATTATCTTTTTCAAATAATAATAATAATAATAAGATTATTTTTTTTTATTTATAAATGGAATGGTGTTTCCGATAATCTAAATTTTTTTCCATTTTTCCCATATATAGTGGATGGAATATCAAATTGCTGAAGTGTAAAATGAGTGTTTATTGTATGCCAATTCTAAGATGAGTTCATCATTGATTCAGTCAAAAATCAAAGGAAACAAACAAAATTCAAAACCCTACGATTCATTTGCACATGTGCGTATACCAAATGGCTGGCAACCATAAAAACATTCTACGAAATTGCCACAACATTTTCTTTACTCTTTTTAGTTTTCTCCGTTGATTCTTTCCTCCCTCTAGTTAAGTAAAAACACTAGAGTCTAGAGACTTAGAAAGCAAAAAGCCAAAACAAAAACACAATCAATACTATACTATATACATATATAAATTATACAACATAAATAATCAGTATCACTTTGTAGACCGTTTCCTAGATCTTCCAGTACCCCCCACTCCCTCCTTATTCTCAATCTTTCTCTTTACCCGAGACTCTGCTGCAGCCCTCTTCGGTGGCCTCCCAACCCCTCTCTTCATCCTCCCACTCTCCTCCCACGCCCCTCTTCCTCCTGAACTCCGGGTAACCCTCTTGACATCATCTCGCTTCCTACCGCTCCCTGTCTCGTCTTTACCATCTTTACTCTCTTCCTCCGAATCATCATCGTCTTTCTCTGTCACTTCACTTGGTGAATTTTGCCTCATTCTTTTCAAGAAACTTGCCGCGTATTGTTTCTTTCTCGCCATGTTTTCTTTCTTGTCAACCTTGAGCTCCATAGCATCATGAGAGCTAAGCTCATTACCACCATACTCATGCTTCGTCTCCCCACTCTTTTTGCTTGTTCTTAATGAGTTTCTACGGCCTGAAACCGGTCTTTCTGTACTTCTCTTCTTCCTTAAGTCTTTTTCATCGATCCCAACAAAAGAACTAGTATCAACCCTCTTCACATTTGCCTTTGGTTTCTCTCCAACCTCTCTTTCCTTTCTGTCTTCTCTCCTAGTAGCATTCCCGCTTAATGCCTTGATAGAACTGCGTTTACCACATGCAGCTATAGTAGAATATTTGTTGGGTTTCGAGAGAGATACGGGGGGCTGGTCAGTTTGGGGTTTCAATGTCACAGGTTGAGGAGGTTGTTTTGGAATCATTTCCTTCAAGACCAAAGCCCGAAGTTCTTGAGCAGCAATATATTCTGGAGAAGTTTTTGGGTGGAAAACAATGATATTGTTGAACAAGAGAAGGAGATCCCTGAAGAACTTTGTGGTGCAATCAGAGTAGACTCCTTTATCAAGCCTGTATTGATTCTTTGGAGGTCCATGTGTTGCCTGATCAGGCTTTTGTACCTTTCTGGTTCCTGCAATCATAGTTAAAGGTATAAATAATTAATTAATAACGATTGTACAATAATATAGCAGAGCTTAAAAAGGTTAATTTGACGGAAACCAGGATATGCTACTTAATACTACTATGTTAATTAATTAAATAAATAATTCGTATTAAAACATGACAGATTAGGTTAAAAATAAAAATAAAACTAAAAACCCTTCTTGAGATTGTAATTTTTCTATTTTCTTTTAGTGCCAA